GGCTGTGTCCCCTCCTGCCTGCGCGTCCCCCCCCGTGTCACCACCTGCGAGCCTGTGCTGCACGCCCAGCCGGCGCTCGTCACCCAGGGCTCGTGTCTCCAGAGTTGTTTCTGATGGTCAGAAAAGTTTTCTGAGAGCTGGTGCATTCCCTGCAGCGTGCCCAGCACGTGTGCGGGACCTGCTCCGGGAGCTGGAGCTGCGGGTGCTGCACCCCAGCCTCAGCTGCTGCTTGGGAATAAGAACACATCTCCTGCTTTTGTATTTTGCTTTCTGTTCGCTTCCACTACGGTGTTCTATTTAAACTTGCAGCTGCATAAACTTCAAGTTCCTTGAGCCAAGGCACCGTGGCGGTGATGAACACCCCAGCAGAGGTTTGCTGGCACGCTGGGGCATCACATTGAGCTGCCAGAGAGATGCGGTCGACGGACGTGCGATGCGGCGTGCTGAGGATGCTCTTGGTCTGGAGGGAACCCCCGCGCAGGGCAGGGACGGACCCTTTGGGGCTGGTGTCACACACGTGGTGTTGGGGACAAGCAGCTCCAGCGCTGGCACAGGAGGGCAGGAGACCCTTGTTCCTGAGCCCTGTCACTGCTCCCGGGAACGCATCGTGTGGCGGGATCAGGGGCTTTCGAGGAGTGTGTGTTGCTCCCACCCACTGCAGGGTGGGTGCTGGTCCATGCAGGTACAGGGCCCTGGGCAGGCTTGGGAAATCCCGCAGTGCTGCGAAGCTGTGTGCTTGTTCTGCTCCGTGATCCTCCCGAGCAGCTCCTCATGACAGATCTCCCTTCCCTGCAATATAGCCTTTTACAAAAATCACTTGTAGGTTTTCATATACATCGCTGCGTGAAACAAGTTCACAGTGTGTATTTTCATTTGTTTTTTCAGGCTGGAAAATCCTTTATTTTTCCTCCCTCTCTTTATCCCTTCTGCCCCCAAGCTGTGGCACCATAAAACTTGAAAATATTGGCTTTTGAAGGTTTTAATTTTACTGCTATTAGCTTAATAGACCCTCAGTATCAGTGCGTTTAGCCATTCATCACAAAAAGCACGCTGCTACTATGCGCAGCAAAATCAAAGCTTATTGCATGCTCGCTATATATAGAAAGCTCTGACATAAAACTGAGAAAGTTGGGTTATGACTTCACCTCCAAAGACGTTGAGGGCTTTGTGCGTGCATGCAGCTGGTGCTGCTTGCCAGCAGTTTATGAAGCTACATAAATCACTCTCCTTTTTCCTTTTACCTGTTCTCTTCTGCCCTACCAGTGGCACAAAAAGGTTCTGTAACTTCATATAAAGTCGCGGTGGCGATTGCTGTGATAGCTGAATTTTTAGCAATACCTGCCTGGTCACGTGAAGTATTTCAGCCTGGAAGATGAATGCTTGAGATTTTTCTTGGCCTGGTTTCTAGGTGGTTCAGTCAGCTAAAACCAAGCATCCAACTTAATTACTGTTTCCCAGTCTTCCTCCAAGCAGCTGGGCGTCAGCGTCTCCCCATACGAACGCGCAGTGGGAGAACAAGTCTGACCCAGGCTGCGCTGGTGCTGGTGTGCCCAACGGGCAGAGCCGTGTGCCTGGTGCCATCCTGCTGGTTTTCCCCTCCTTGAAGGCGCTTGCACATTTAGCTTGTGAGCGCTGCGACTGCGTTTGGAGCCCTGTCGATCCGTGCCGCTCCCCTCGGCTGTGCCGTCTGCTGCCCCTCGTCAGCCCCGCTCGCTGCTCCGGGTGTTTTTGGCAATGCCAGCGGGCCATGCATTGTGCTATTCCTGACCACACACGGGCTGTGCGGGTGCCCGAGAGTGCGATCTGCTTACGCGAGCTGTAACTTCAGCTGCCGGTTGGGGATATTTGTCTCAAGCAAAGGGTTAGCAACCCCCTTGGGAGCGCAGCCCGCTGCTCCAT